ATCAGAAAACAAGTTAAAAAGTGACTAACAAAATATGCTGTGTTGATGTGTAAATACCGAATAGTTTCTCTAGTGTGAAAATCTATAATAGTACATAAGATCCTAATGAGATAATGGACAATGTGAAATAGGAAGAAAAGAGCTAAAGGTGTGGGGAAGGTGGGAAGGGTAGGGGAAAGGTAATAAGGGAAAAGAAAAAAATATGAGAAAATGAAAAAATGGAAAAAAGTGTTTGTAAATGGGGGGGGAAGGGAGTGTAGGGAGGGCAGGGACAAGGGGAAAAAATGAGAACCAAGACCTGTCATGTAAAGGTACAAGATCCCAATAATGAATGTAACTGTATACTCTATACCTAAAATATACCAATAAACTCAATTAAAAAAAAATATGCTGTGTCACCAACCAAAATGAAAGGCCTATTTTTCTGGTGAGAAAACGAAATATTTAGTGTACAATAAATTACACAATGATTTCATATCATTATCAATAAAACGGAAGAAAAATGTGCTCCAACGTTCTTTGACTTTTTTTCAAAAGGTAGGGATACAAGACCTACCTGAATGAGTAAGTCAAAACTACAACAAGAAAACCAACTAATATTTCAAGATCTTCCTTTAAAGAAAAAGGTATAGCGAATCTTATCTTAGAGAAAAGTTCAATAATAGTTAAAATACGAGGTTTTCCCCTTTGGCTAAGAAATTCTGAAATTCTCTTATTTCATTTTACATCCCTAGCTAAAGCAGAATGGTGCATTGTTCAGAACCACTCTATTTAAAGGTATAAAAAACACCCAGGAAGTTGCCTTACAATCTAGTACAAAACTCTGCGGATCACTTAGATACTAATGCATTAATATGTAAACTATAAGAGAAATTAACATAAATTGACATGATTCCTGAATTTTAACACAAAAAGACAGAGTGCATTTATTCAAAACTTGATAAACTCTTAAAAACAGTCAGCCACATCTGCCCTAAATGTTCCGACATTTTATTAAGAGAGAGGCTGAAGTGTGATTGTTGTTTTCACAGCCTTCATCTGAGGTAACAGCAGATATTAGTTTTCTTGACATGGTTCAGTAATTTTGGCACTTCAGCCCTTTCAGATCGAGTTAAGCATGCTCTTAAATAGATGGATGTGGCCTGTTAATAGACCTCATTTCCTTACTAAGGACTTCAAATGAAATTATGTACTTGCTCTCTAATGTTATAAAGGCCTCAACGATATTTTCCCAAGTTCATATATTTTAAAGGAAGGCAAACTCTGACTGTACACACCAGAGATGAGTCCTTCAAAAGGATTACCAAGAGATGGTTTGTATTCTGTGACCTCTTTACTGCTAACACATGTTCGAGAGGAAATTAGAAGTGATTTCCGACTTCTCTCCTTTGCCAATTTCCTCACTCTTTTCTCTCCTTTACATATGTGCACCTTTAAGCAGTGTAAATTGGCTTTTCCTCCACCCCTTCTCAGTTTAGTTCCCTCTCCTGATGAGATTTTATCTCTAGCTCACAGAACATAATCCTTCACTCATAGTTTACATCAATTCATTTATTGCCAGCTGCTAGTGCATTTATGTAAATGTATCATTTTAATACGTTTACATTAACTTATTAAATAATTACATCATATTGCAAATATTAAATTAAAGAAACAAAATTTAGTCACTAGCATCTTCCTGCTTCTCACTGTTTTGAAGATAAAGTATCTAGAAATCTGAACTAAATCTACTATGGATATGCCCTGTGGCTTTTCTCCATCATGTTTCTATTTAGTTGATATAATAATGCAAAGTAACTCTCCAAATCAAATCAAAGTGAGCAGTTTCTCTGAACGTATTTTTAAGCTTTTTTATTGTCATATGAACAAATATCGAGATATACCTCCTTAAATTTTTAAGTGAACAGGCTGCTAGTGTAACTACAAACACACTATTTTACATGAGATCTCCGAAACTTACTCATCTTGTATAACTGAAAGATAATACATCCCTTTTATATATGTGCTTATTTTGTGATAAATCAGATTTTTAATGAGTTTTGGAAAGGTCATCCTATTAAATGTATTGTATAGTGTGAAAGAAAACAATACTTTGTTATTTAAACAGATAAAAATTAAAATGCCAGTAATTTTAAAAAATCAACAGTGTTTCCAATATTTTCCTTTTCATTAAAAACAACAAATAACTTGATGCGACACTCTCAAGTTGAAAGGAAATCTATGAGAGAGTAGCAAACACAAGCAACAACAAACTCATTTATAACCAGTGACAACCCAAACCCATGAAGTTTTTAAAAGAATGTGATTGTTGTCAGAAGGAATCAGGTCCCACAGCACTGCTGTTCAGCTCTGGTTGCACTCAAAGGCATGGCTGAGGGACGAAGGAAAGTCTCTCCGAGGCTGGTGGGCACAGACCAGCACGAGAGTGAATTCTGCATACTGTACGGATCATCGCTCAGTTCAGGGCAGTCAAATTGCATCGGGGATCAACCGATTGTGCTTCATGAAACCGTCAGTCCTCATTTGTGTCTTGCTGTTTTCTTTTGTCCAGCTGTAAACAAGGCCGGCTCGAGTTGTCTCCCTACTCATCTGCGCAGGCAGATCCCACACTCCAACCTAGTCAGCGGCTGCAGAGCTCAAGCTAAAGTTCTTGCTCACAGACAATAGTTCCAGGGCACACTGGGAAGTCACAAAGAGAAGCAACTCCAGAGTGACAGTTAGACTCCCTTTTCGGAAATGCAGGCCCTAGATTCCTACACATACTGGCATGGTGTGGCTCTTCCGAGAAATGAAATCAGGTGTTCCTAATATGAACAATTGTTTTTCCGGCAGACTAGCTCAGCAGATTCATCTCATTGGGAAGGCTGGGGTGGTGGTGATCATTTTGGTGTCTTACTGCTTTGGGGCTTTGCTTGGATCAGCCAGAAAAGACATGGACAGAAACACTGTCAATCTGGTCCAGCTCCAGGAAGCTAATCATGCCTGAATCACTCAGAGGAGTGTAATGATGGCAAACAGGAACAGGTATGTTGGCTTCTGTTCTCATCCACCTTGGCCACACTGTCGCCTTTACAATAAAGCGGAATAGGATTCTGAAGGTATATCATGTCAGTAATAAAAGAGAGGGCGCATCATTGAAGCCCCTTTCCTTGGCAAGCGGCGTAGAGGTAATATTTAGTATTCACTACATTGAATTCTTCAAGCCAGCTGGTGTGTCCCTGTTTAGACTTTCATTTATGCAGCCTGAGCTGGAACCCTTTTTGTTCTCCCAGCCTATTACTTTGTCGATTTAAGGGATAACAGCCAAAGTGAAACAGCTTGCAATTTGCACCTGTCTGCTCCAAGCACTGCACATTAGATTACGTGGCGAGCAACTCCTTCACTGCTTAATGAGAGCAAGCAAGACTGGGGAGGGCTGGATGCAGTTTTGCTGGGTGAGGAGGTTATCGGACATTTAAATATTTTTCATTCATTTCTAACTGACTTGATAGAGACCTCCCTATTTTCATGTTTTGGAGTCCCTGGGGTAAAATGATTCAATTCAAAAAGCGTAAAGTTGGGTACTCTTCAAAGAAATGTTTAAATGTCATGTAACTAAGAACTGAATTAATATTCAGTCTGAGTTGCTTCAGAAGAGAAAAAAATTTTAATTTTAAATTACATCCAAGTTGTCATAAGTGCAAAATATCTATGGAGACTTTTACTTGCAAAATGAGCAAAGAAAGAAAGTACATTTAAAATTTTAGGCATATTTCAAAAAAGAAAAGTAGTTTTGGAAATATGCTGTTTTCAAAAAACTAATTTATGGAGGTCAAAGTGAAAATTCAAACATATGAAGTTCAAATTTATACGTAGAAACAGGTAGATATATTTATACAGTTATCATTGTGTGACTCATGAAATGAATTCTCTACCACTGCAAAAACGTGAGCACCTACTCTTCACTCCGACCTTTTTCGAAAGCTCTCTGTATCCACCTTAGATCTGATCATTTTGAGAATTATGTCCATGGGTTTTCACCATCTATTTTGAAAGAATTTAAATTAAACTCATTAAGATGAAGGAACATTAATCATTGCTTACAATATTCTCCAAACCTTCTAAGTGTTTAAAAAATCATCACAAAGGCATTTAAATAATTTAGTGCAATCATCTTGAAGATGATCCAAGATTTAGTAAAGTAAATTAAAAAAATAAAAAGACAGTGTGTTCAGCAAAGATCCGTGCTACATGTGGATTCTAAAAACCTCCCTTGTCGGTGCGGCCTGTCGAAATAACAGCTGAAATGACGAGGGTTAAATGAAGCTGCAGTGGTCACAAATGCGTCACACTAGCAATGAATATAATTGAATATAGTCGTTGCCCACATCTCGCCTGACAGATAACATTCCAGCTCGCTGGCGATGACCCCTTCAGCGCTGCTTTAGGAGCTTGGGCCAGCACTGCTGAGCCTGGTCAGGTCAAGGGTTGAGCCATATGTAATTCAGAACAGAGAAGGTCCCACGTTCACGCCACAAAAACAATTACACTACTTATTTCACTCTAGCCCTTGCCCAAAACTCACAAGCCTCACGGTTTCAGTGCAGTCAATCTAATTCTGCCCTTGGGCATAAGCCACATGAAAATATGTGGTGCTGTGTTTATAAATCTAATCAAAAATAGAAACAGTGGACAGGCACAATGAGGTCCTACTATGGATCATGGGAATCCTTGGAAATTCTGAAGGCACTTTTGTTTAACTTCTATAGATTGCCTTTAGCTCCTACATTGTTTGTTACACTCATTAATCATCCTCTTTACCCATGAGTGCTACAAAGGAGGCTAAATTTCTACTCACTTCTATACTTTCTGTCCATGGATAATATTATGAGAAATAAAGCTTAAAAGGCTGCTTTTAAAGAAAATATCAAAAAGGGGGCTACTGTTATATCAATCTTACCTCTCCATCCATGTTCTCAGCTCCTTGCCTTTGGCGATGCACAGATTTAAATCAAGTTCCTCTAAAAAAGAAAAATAATACACTAGAATAAATTGGCCCAGCCATAGATATATGAAGCCATTTGGGTTGGAGAGCTATGATGTTGCTTAATGTACTTGAAAATTCTAAGTGCAAAGTCAACGAGATTTAATTTGATGTCTTACTTTTATTGTTTTTTTATTTTGTTGGCACAGTCAGCCTCCTAAAAGACTGAGCCTATAAAACATTCTCAAAATATTCTACAAAAGCAGTTTCTAAGAAAAATTCTGACATGATTTAGACAACCAAAATTTCCTATTTTACACCCAAAAGGTGGCAAATTTTCAGACTACTTTGAAGTTATTACGATAATTTGCTGCTGTATACCTTTGGAAGACATACTGTTTATTTCTTTTTATTTATGATCCAGTTTTGCAGCTGTCATAGATTGATAAAATCAATGATAAATATGCATACTTAGGGACTGAGCAGATTAAACTCTGCAAACATTATCCAGCACAGATATAGAATATAAAAATTTTAATGAAAGGAGATGGGTTTTTAACACTCTTAAAACTCCTTAGAGTCATGCAATAAATTATCAAGTTCAATCTGCAAACTACTCTATCTGATATTATTTCAGCTAACAGAAATAATACACTCGAATATAGTTGGGGCCAGATCGTTACTATAAATGAGAAATTTTAAAAATAAACAATGGTCTTAGGATTTATTAAATTATTGTAAATATTACAAAAGAAGTCTTTTAAACCTGGAATTTTCCTTTTGGAAATGATTGTCTGCACTGGACGATAAAACAAAGCAAATCATTTATGAATGTTACTATGACCCTTTTTTTATTCAGAGCAATCAATTGCAGTTTTAAAGTCACTGCACAAAATGCACATGAGCTCTTAAATAACTATCAGTGTTGAAAAAAATAAAAGACTTTAATTTTTATAGTGCTCATTACAAAACTGATTTTTTATGTAAGGATAACATAAAAGACACAAAGATTATATTGAATGATTATTTCCAAAAAGAGCAATGTGTAAAATTATTTGAAAGAAAAAAAAAAACAACGAGATGTGAACATGTTACAAAAATTGAAGTTTGACTTACTTATTTTTCAATGACACAGTGACTGGGAAGTAATTCAGAAGCACATATTTTGAGAATGTATGTGGAGTGGAAATCAGTTTTATTTCCTTGAATGTGATCTGAATCTAACCATATTTGTCTTTTGAAATATTTTCAGTGTGTAAAGTCACTAATATGACTGTCATCATAAATTTATTTTCAAGACATATAATTCAAAGATAGGAAGCAAAACTCACACACTGGTTGCTCTATTAATGTCAAAAAGGTGCTCAGAAAACTTTCAAATAATGCAGCTCACTTCTCACCTTTCATAGAAAGCTGCATTTTAAACATCTTTTTATATTAAGTATTCAGAATGCAACATTAGTACAGAAAGACTCAGTGTAACTGTGATATAAACCAAACCTCTCAGTGCCTCATATAAAATACTAGGGAGTTGAATCAAGAAACTAGATTGGTAGAAACCAACAGTGTCACTTAAAACCAGCTATCACTAGAGTAGGCCTGATACTGCCTCTTCCTGATTTTGTGAGTAATGGGTGTGGTGCAGGGTGCTTTCCTGCTTGGGAATCTCCAGAAGCTTAGATCAGGCAATATTTGCAATAAAAAGTTTCAGTCCTTGTGTCCACACAAGCTGGAATTTGGAGGTTGCCACAAGATCCCTCACAATTTGGGAACAACTACCAGAAAGATGATGAACAAATGGGCCACCTGGGGCCAAAGGAAAATCAGTGCACCTGTGACTTGGCTGGAGAAACCAAAAGATTTGGGCAAAGTTGACCTTGATAGAAATATTAATCATAGAAGTGTATCCCCAGCACAATTCCTGAGAGCTTAATTTGAGGACCTCAAAAAGGAAATAGAATAGTTACACGGCAGAAAACAGCTCCTAAGAACAAAATGAATAGAGGAAACAAGTGTGAGGCTGAGCTCCAGAGGAGCTGGATCTGCAGGAAAGATGTAGGGATCCCCAGAAATGGGCACCCAGGGACCTCAGACAGGTCCACCTCTGAGAGGTGGGTGGATTCAGAATCAAACTGGAAAAGGTAAATGGAGTAAGCAAAGAGAGGTGGTGGAAATGAAAATAAGTTCATAAAGCAATGGGTAGAATTTACTACTGATTAATAATTTCAGTGAGTTAGTGATTAATGGGCAGCCATCATACCCTGCAAACAAGGAGATCCCTTAAGAAACTGGAAAAATAAGAAGCCAATCAGAAAACTGGTGCATTTACGAAACTATCTCTTGAACCTGCTTTGTTGAGAAAGTCCAAACTAGCTTTCTTTTTTAGAAGAAAAGAGGAAATAAGTTAAAAACAACATAATTTTTTTTAAAAAGTCTGCAGCTTTTCAGAAGCACTGGACTTAATAAACTAATGAGAACCACTACAAAATTCTTACTATGTATACAAGTTTGGACCACTGTGTGTCAGTTACCCGGAATGCTAGTGGCTTTAAACAGGGATCATTTTTTAAAAGCCAACCTCAAACTTGCTAGCAGATTGATGACTGCAACATAACCTGTGTGCAAGTGACCTGCTTACCACATTCTGTTAAGCACGGGTTAGTGATCACCTGAAAATTTGTACAGTCATTTTTTTGCTTATTTTATGGTTGATTTTTAAAATGGCTTTCATTGAAACTGTTAACCTTGGAAATAAAGCCTTGGAATTGCCAAATCTCTGACAACTGGTTCACTGCTTCCAGAGAAGGGAATTAGCATGGCTACAGCTGTCACTCCACTGCATTTCTCTTCTCTAGCAGACCAGCAAGGGCAAAGACGGTGTTAGACAGAGGTCGCAAGCCGGAGTCTGTCTGCAGACGTTTTGTTTAGCTTCCACGGTGATTTAAAACATGTTGACCCCATATTCAAAAATAAGAAAATTACAGTTTTGAAAAATCCAACTTCTGCCTCCTCTTGAAAAATTAGAAACTTCTCCAGAAGAGGGTCCATATTTGTGGTGTGCAACAACTGGCTGGGGGAAGGGTGAGTGCTGCGGTATGCTTTCTCACTAGTATTCTCCAGACCAGTGACGGGAACCTTCAGAGCTTCCAATGATGTGAACAGCCCCCTGCAGCGCGCAAGCCACAGGCTTGCCACCACTGACCTAGAACAACAGTTCTCTCTCTCCCTATTGCAGACCACAAATCAAACTGTGGCTCCATAAGGACAGGGCTTGTTTTATTCATTACGTAGCCTCTGAGGCTAGAACACAGCCTGAAAATAAGGAATGTTTGATAAATGTTTAATGTTGAATGAAGATATCTCAGGGCAGACAGGTAACTTTTAACAGGCAGCTGTACGACAATGGGATATACCCAGGAACTGTCACAACGCATATTCACGTTTCTTTTCCAGAGAGAGTTCATGCATCATTCTGCTTGCATTGCTGTATTTCTTGTAAAGTAAGATTTCTCTCCATTCTTGCAGCTACCAAAGTAGACCACAAGTGTCAGGAAAAATGAGAGCAAAAAACACAATTCATTCATTTATATTTCTTGTCTGCCCCTACAGGCATCTGAATTTTAAACTTCTGAGTCAGAAATGAGAGTAGACCTGGTATGCACAATAACAAACTGTTCTGCCATGATTCTTCCTCAACCTGCCTCAGAGTTATTGCCACTACCATTTAAATCTATATCAGGGAATAAATAACAACAAAAATGTAAAATCCACCTTGGAAGGTCACTATCACTCTAGAATGGTAGTGTGGGATGAACTTGTATGTATGTTTAGGAAACAGTGGCTCAAATCTGCACATGGGGAAGTTGATCTCTTAAGTCTCTGTTCTGTAGGATTGTCGAGAAAATTTTTAAATTGTGATATACCAGATTTCAAGCTTCAACTTGGGGTACATAAAGCTGGAAAAGGCATCGATCCCAAACATATAGCAAAACAAAATCCTAAATAATCTGCAAACTCACAACTACTATTAGGCTTTTGTCAAAAAGCCAAAGTCACAAGGGGACCAATTTATCCCAAATCTAGACAAATTTAGGTGTGTGCAAAGAGTGACAGGATGGTAATCAACTGCTTATTCAAGTAGACATGAGGACCCTTTTAAACCAGAAAGAATAACTCAGCTAAAACTTGTTAATGAACTTCTAAAGTCTGAATGTGACTGCTATGGTTTGGGTTAGTGTCCCTGAGGTCTTGTATTAAAGGCTTGGTTTCCAGCCTGTGGTGCTACTGGGAGGTGGTGGAACCTTTAAGAGGTGGGGCCCAGTGGGAAGATGGTGATGTTCACTGGGGACGTTGTTTAAGGGGATTGTGGGACCTTGGCCCCTTCCTCTGTCTTTGCTCCCTGACTGTTATGAGGTGAGTAGCTTTACTCCACCCTCATGTTTTTCATCTCTGTGAATTCAAAGCAATGGAGGCAACTGATTATAATTGTGGTTTGAAACAACTACAAGCCAAAATAAAACTTTCCTCCTTCCCCGCTCCTCTTTCGTTTTAATTCTTTAACACAGGGTCTTACTACATAGTCCAAGTTTGCTTTAAACTCACTATGTAGCCAAGGTTCACTCCAAACTGAAGATCCTCCTACCTCAGCCACCTGAGTGTTAGGATTATAAGCATGTACTGACACATCTGGCATTCTTTTATTTTCTCAGGTATTCTGTCACACTGACACAAAGCTATCACAATGATCTACTGTGAAAGTAGAGAACTTACAGGATCTTCAACACAAGGCAAATTCATACTCACTCCAATACTCTTCTCTATGGACCTCCTGGTGGGTTAGGGTGTTAATCCATAATGCTTCTAAGCAAAGAACAATTCTGACTCCAAATCTGGCAATGTCTAAAGACATTTTTTAATTTCTAGAGCTGAAGAATACTACTAGAATGCAGGGTGTAGAAGCCAAGAAGACTGCTGGACAACCTGAAAAATACAGATTACTCCCTTATCATAAAAACTACCCAATCCAAAATGTCCATA